GGTTTTGTAAATTTCTTTTAACTGTTTCTTGAGCATCACGTGATCATTTCCGGCTTGTAAGTTAAGTCGAAATTGAAGAACATTAAAGACACTAAATATTTAGTTATGTAATTCTCTGACATTTCTTCCCGACGGTTATACATTTTCAATTACAGAGTCATCCGATCTGTCGGTCAAGGATATGCCTGAAGGAATTAAAGGGACGATTTTCGATATAAAATCTTATCTGTTCAGTTGCCATAAAGTGATTTGGATGATCTATCTCAGCGTATTATGTGTCCTATAATTTTCAGAGGCTTATCACTCTGTTATAGATATTTATTCACCTGCAAGTATAAGACATTCAGTCATGTTCGATATCATGATCGAGTAAAAAAAAAAAAAAATGAAACTTATTTTACTAGATAAGGAAAGGGAATTGAACATATGCGGAGCCATGTATATGTGGAAGCAAGTGAAGTTTCACCCCAAACCGCAAATTGCTACAAAACCAAATCTTAAACTGAAAAAGTCGAGTCATGTTCTTAAATAGCATTTTCATATATAGACTGCCAAATTGTTGATACCAAAATTGTTCGGATTCAGAAATATATAAACTTTCAACTGTATCCCATTAATTTCTCAAATCTGTTTTCGAAATTGCCTTGAGCGAATAAAATGTCTTATCTCGAAACTTTCGAGTGGACTCAATTTGCAGAATCACAAACAATATACGGTACGATATACAAGAATATAATTAGAATAAAGAATATATACCACATAATTTGTAAAAATATCTAGAGAAGCATCAAATAAAACAGATGGTAAATATAATTCGAATAGAATATGATATAATAATGGCTTTTAATTTCTAGATTAATTCAAGTAAATGTTTATGAATGAAGCCCAGTAATACTTGAATTCGCATAGCGGGTCTGTTTTGAACAATTATTTTGGAAATAAATATGCCTTTTATACACTGTCAATTATGATAATTATATACAGCACGTGTTCTCTAGAAATCAAAATTATTAAATTTATTTTCACTGAAATTTAATTAAAATTTAATATAGATTCTTCTTTCTTTTTATTTGCCATGTTCTTTCAATACGTAGGCGATCATGGCTCTCCACCTCCTTCTATCTCTTGCTGCTCTCAACAAGCTCCTCCCCATCTGCTATCTCCCCCAGAACATGTGGTGTCATCCACTTGCTTAAGCCCGCCAGGTATGCCACGCGTTGTTTTCCCTTGTCTGTCTATCCCTCTATTCGACCCGTGAGTATCAGATTTTCTAAGCCCTCCTTCCTAATTATGTGTCCCAGAAACTCCATTGCCTCTTCCTGATATTAAGTATAAGTCTCCTCTTTGTTACCACTCTTATTTTTTTAGAAAATATCGGGGTTTGACTTCCGCATTTACAAAAATGGACCCGTTTTGACACACGGACAAAGAAATAACATAAAATTATTTTAAAAATATAAAAAAGGAACCGAAGAACTGAATATAAACATTATGGAATATGCGACGGAATAACAATAGATTTTAAACACAACTGCTGAATCATCTATGTAGAAGGATAGAGAAATGAAAGACAAATCAGGCTAATATTATATGAAGGCAAGAGGTAATGGTCTTTTGTAAAAGGAAGCATATCAGACACATTTAATTTATTAAAGCTGTAAGGTAAACTATTCAATATGGCGATCATATTAAAATAGTAAATGCACCAAATCAGAACGTACTGAAAATAAATAAAGTTTTTTTTTACGCACAGAAATGATGCCCGGTACGATTATGACATTTTTAGGAAGAATTCGCCAGGGTCATGTGACATCCGGTGATTTACACCAGAATCAAGAGTAATAAATATTAAGATCTAAATGAACATAGAGGGAAATCGACGTCATAATTCGCGGGCCATAAGAAAAAATAACGAAAACCATGTATCCAAGAAAAAGAACATAAAATACGCCACCACACTGGGTGTTTTCCCTTACGGAAATATTAATTTTTCTCTCATTCGCATTGCTTGTTTTATCCATACGTATTATAGTTTCTATATATGGGACAAAAGGAGACAAGGTTGAGTAATGGTTAGCAGCTCAGATTGAGGAAATGGAGAGCCGAGTACAAATTCCAGACAAATCCATTACATTCACTTCCGTGCTAATACCCTTGGGAAATATATAAATCCTCTTCTTCCCCCATCTATGGGTAAATAGCAAGACAAACCGGGTTCTATAGCCTGGTCTGCCACGGAAAGAAATGTCAACCTACTGCGGGAAAATTTCTGCATCGTCAGCTATGTATCAAAAGATACATGATCGCCTAAGCGGGTATTACTCATGACACATAACTGACTGATATAGGACAAACGGCGGCAGATATATACATGTTTACATATAATTCTGGTATGAGATATCAGCACTATGCATATTTGGCATTCATTTCTTTCAGTTAAGCTAGTCTTGTCTTCCGTTGTGTAAAGGTGTTAGTCTCTAACGGATAACTAATGCCTGCTATGGAGCCTTGGAGATAAACAAAATCATTATTCTATTTTCCAAGGATCATATTAATATTATACATTTTGAAATATCTATGCTAATCTCAAGAAATTACTTTTGAAGCAGGTGTTTGATTAAATACATAAGAATAAACGTAAAAAGATATTGAAACAGTCAATAAACATGGATGTAATCATCGTAGCGTAAATGGATAGAAATGGATTCATAGGTAGAAAGGGAATGCCAAATTAATGAAATACATCTGGTTTGAAGAATAGATAAGTATTGTGAGACCGGAACTACCTACACAATAGACTCTTCCAGGTCTATATTAAGTATGCGACACAACACTCTAGACAGAGTGACAGTGAGAGCCGCGTACGACTACCAGTATTGGACACTAACATATAGTAAGTTCTGCTTACACTATCTCTGTAACCTGTTGTTAATATATCTTTCTTACATCTAATCCGTGTTCCGTGTTTCCTTCTGTGGTCCCAACTTTGGCCCCATATCGATAAGACATTTGTTGACATGAAAATACTCGAAATATGTTCTAAAATATAGACTGCAAAATTATTTTCAAATGTAATACTACAATGTAATATGTAGTCGCAGATTTTGAGAGTGATCATCTCCGAGACATATGCAAAATATGCATAATACTAAAACAACGATAACGAAATGATCGATTAAGCTAGAATATAACAAATTCAACGACTACCTAATTTACAAAACATATGTAATATATTTATATATATATATATATATATATATTTATATATATATAGATTTATAGTTATATCGATGAACAATCCTTGCCACTTTTGTAATGCTCGTTGTAATAGAGGCTTTGTAATCGCAGATACAACTATAGTACGCCGTTTTAACAATATTGGTGTCAGACGTCTTCGAATATCTCTTGCACACAAAATACTTGCTCGATAATACTCGCTCGAATAGTAATCCGTATAGTAAAATAGTATAGAGAAGAGCGGTTCGTATAGTAACAGAGGATAGAGTAGAAATAGCAATCCGTATAGCAATAGAGAATAGACTGGAAATAGCCATCCGAATAATAATAGAGGATAGAATAAAATAGCGATCGTTAGACGTCAGCTACTTATTACATATATGCGTTTACTCTATGGTCACGTGGTCTAATTAATTCAATAATGGGATCGCCGGTTTTTGGTCACTTTATTCCTATATAACATATATATCATAACCAATCCTAAAAGATGGAAAAAAAACACTAACTGAAATGGATCTTCTTCAGGTAAGTACGTATAACAACAGCAAAATAATTTAACTTAAGCGAACAGAATGATTGGAAAAATAAGTGGATTACAAGTGATATTCGGCATCTAAAGAGAGTCAACATATAACACTTTGTAAATTGTTGCCTTTTAATAGATCGAGAACTCGAAGACTGTATGATGTTAAATAAACATATTAAAGATAAAATAGAGCTAGTAAAAGAGATATTCAAGAAGATAGTTTAAGAAATGGAAAAATACAAAGCATTGGCATGCATGTACAAAAAGATAAAATAAACCTCCTTGTTTACCCTCAGGACATAAGCGTTCACAGCTCTCCACAGTTTCTTCTCCTTTGCATCTCTTAACAAACATTTGTCTTTTTTTTGTTATTTCTTACGAAACCTATTCCGCCATCCATTTAGTCAATTCTCTAAGTATGTTCTCCGTTGTTTTATTCTGTCTCTCTTTCTCTCTGTCTGTCCTGTGAATATTAGATTTTCTAAACCCTCCTTTTTTATTATGTGCGCCAATAACTTCAACTGTCTCTTCCTGGTGTATTAAGT